GTCATAGTATTTGTTTTCTTCTATGTACTCTATGATTTCCTGTCTTGCATGCATTTCTCTAATTTATTTTGTATTGATTTTCTAAAGTTTTCTCTTTTGCATATAGCTATTCAGTTGTCAGAACAGTCTATTTATTGCACATAATCTACAAATCTATTTTTAAAACTATGTTGTATTAATTGCATTAAACTTGTAAGTTTGAATTTAGAGTATGACTCCTCATTTTTGTTATTATGTTTCTTATCTTTCTACAATTTTTGGTCTTTTTTTCCAAAATTTGTAAAAAATAAGGTTGGAATTTTGATAATTATTTTATCAATAATTATCTTTATATTGTGATTAATAAATTATAGCCACATAATGATATTATTTTGAACACAAATTTTTTTTTAATTTTTAAATCTATTTCAAAATATATTATGCTTTTTTGATATATAGATGATTCTCTTCTTTCATTAAATTTATCCCAAGATGTTTGATTCTACTGTAAATGAATTTTTTTTAGATTTTTATTTATTTTTTATTTGCAAACAAAAATGTAAGATAAATTATTAATTTTATAGTCTTAAACTTTTCTGTATTGTTTTATTTTTTATTATAAATTATTTGTAACTTAACTGAGTGTGCCACTTCCATGGTATAAAAAGATCCCAAACCTGTTATTATCTCAAGTCATTGAAGTAAACAGAAACTAAATCTGATTTTAGAATAACTAAAAGACTAAAAAAGGAAGTGGTATGAGAGTGGTACACTGACTTAAGTTGGCTTAAACTGCATTTCAAAACTTGAAATGATTTTGATCTCCAAAATCAGAATTTTGGAGCTGAGTCAGCTATGATACTATTTTTTAAGTATCTGTCATTCTTTATTCTACTTTAGATTTATATTTTTTCCATTTTTTGAAAATTTTAGTTTTTGGTGCTGCTGTTATTTTATTTGGGGAGGGGGAGGTGGGTGGAGTACACAGTAGTGCTCAAGACTTACCCCTTACTTATTCTTGGTGAGGTCCAGGGACCACATATGGTGCCAGGGATCAAAACTAGGTTTGCCATGTGCAAGACAAGCAACCTATTAGGTGTTCAATGGTTCTGAGCCTTGTTGATTTCCTATATTTTTACTTTTTTCCCCCTATCTGTATTTGTAACTTAGTTAAACAGCATTTTGTTTTGTTTTGTTTTTCTCAGAAAGTACTACTATAACTGAAGTTCATTTTATTATCATTTACTGTCCCCCTTCATGAGTCAAGGTATGCACTTGCATTTGCTTTGAAAGGTAGAAAAGAAAAAGGCAGTAAAGGGTCCAGAAATTATTGAAAAAAATGCTGGTCAAGTAATCCCATTTGTATTGTGGCACTACTGATATTTCATCTCAATGTAGTGGCAGATCTGAACTGAGCAGATTGTTCACAGTGAGCTTCACAAGATCAGCAAAATTCTCGATAAATGGGGTACGGGTGTTGTCTTTGTTGTCTTTGCTAGAACCATGGATGGTGTGAATGAATCATTCAGTTTTTACATATGCATTTTATTTGGATCAAAGGAATATGTTCCAAGTGTAACTAATCTTGCCTCCTTAGAATTCCTGAATTAGCTAATGAACCTGAAGTCTGAGTCCCATTCAACTGCAGGTTTCAAGAATCTCACTTCACCCAACTTTGTCAAATGATGTATAAGACTCATTCGTATGCTTTATATTTCAGTCTGTGATAATCTTGGTCTGAGTTGTAATAGATATGTTCATGTTTCCAAGAATTGTGGGGCTTTTAGCAGTACCTCAAATTCCTAGATAATTGCCATTGCACTTGGTCACAAAGGATTGAATCTTGACTTTGCCACCTTGGTACACACTTCTTGCCTCTAATTTTTATATATTTTCTGCCTATGCTTTGCTCTTTGGTTTCAACAAAACCGTTCAATGCATTGTAAAATATAGAAACTATGCTAAACATTTTAATGGAGCAACTAACATTTCTTGAGGTTATGCTATCAGCCAGGCTCTATTTTAAGCATTTTGTATTAATTATTTCAATAATTCACACAAAAATACATGATGCATAAATAATATAAAGAAGCAATTTTAATGGTTTATTACTCAGATGAAACAAGACTTGTTAGAACTTTAATGGAAAATTCAGAATAAAAAGAAGCATAGATCACCAGCATTATTCTAAACGAGTTACAAGGTTAAAATAGCATAATATGGAAGAAAGAAGAGGATGCATTTGGAGGGTGATTATAATGAGCGCTTTCTGAATTTCCCTTTCTTAGCTTGTATGTGACACACAGCCAGATGTAAGCAGGTCGTACTCCTGCCTCTAGACTCAGGATCATTCCTGGCAGACTGGGGGCATTAGATGTCAAGCCGGTATTGAACCTGGGTCAGCCTCTTGGAAGGTAGTGCTGTATGGGCCGTGCTGGCTCTTTAGTCTAATTGATTTTTTTTAAGCATACTTAATTTGTAACACAGAGACATGTAAGGGAAGAAACTCATGAAGCAACTGGATATTTAAACTTCAAAGCTGACGAAGCCTAAGTCTTGGAGATAAATATTATAAATGTAATTAACAGTAAATCACATGGTATAATATGTACACCAATTCTGTGACTGAAAATAATCTAAAAGTTATTAATAAAATTTACTCTAAATATTTAAGAACTGAAAAACAAGTATAATATTTCCTCTTTTTCTAGGCATCTCCAGCTGTTCTGGGTATGACCAGAGCTATAGCTGTAGCATTCAGAAGCCATGAATGAGAAACCTGGCATAAACCCAGAGGATTGTAAGTGTTAGGCATGTACTCTAGTTTTACTGATGTGATGTTGAGTGATGAAGCTTTCAACGTAAAAACACCGTGGAAGTGAATATTAAATATACATTGATTATGGACTGATTTTTTTCTTTCTTCAAAATTATATCAAGTAGAATGAGAATAAAAGAGAATAGAAACTTATCCTTTCAGAAGTTGATCCCTATCTTATATCACACATAAGGAGACTGAGGAGCATATCTGTTAAATCAGTCAATTTGAAATTCTTAATTATCAAGTACAACTTGATCTATAAAATAGTGTGTTTATAAAAAATAGTATACACGTTGATCTATAAAACAATGTCATGGTAGGTAAGAGGATGTGAAAAAGTATATCATAAATCATTTTCACAATTTTTTAAAATATAGCTTTGTAGCACTGTCCTCCCATTGTTCATCAATTTGCTCTAGCGGGCCCAGTAACGTCTCCATTGTGAGACTTGTTACTGTGTTTGGCATATTGAATATGTCACAGGTAGCTTGCCAGGCTTTGCCATGCGGGGGGAGATACTCTCAGTAGCTTGCCAAGATCTCCGAGAGGGGCGGAGGAATTGAACCTGGTTCAGCCGGGTCGACTGCATGCAAGGCAAATGCCCTACTGCTGTGCTGTCGCTTCACCCTTTTAAAATATAAAATCTATAATTCCTTGTCTCAGTATTCATGAGAGGTAGTCAGCTGTCACTTACAAGCCAGATGCTGTCTTATAGGAGGTCAAATGAAGCACAGAAACATCATCTGTAACATAAAACTCACATTTCAAGTTATATGTGATTACATATTATGACAATAATTTAAATTATTATCTTTTCAAAAAAGTATTAAAATGCTTCTTGAATAGAAATATTTTCAGTCATCACACAAAAAAGGAGAAATGACAGTACTTCCTTTTGACTTGACTAGAGTTAAAAAAATCAAATAAGACCCCAATAAAATTCTTCACTAGAGATTTTATCAGGCTTAAATAATTTATAAAACTATCATAATCATATTGTGTACTGGCATTAAGGCTGATTCTAAGACCTATGGAATTGAACTGAAATACGAATTACCACTTCCTAGCATCTGGGTAGCTAATCTTTGGCGAATGATGTAGGTGAATGAATTGGAGCAGACAGGAGCCTCTTCAACAGATATTTGAGAAATCTGGTAAGATATATGTTTAAAAAAATGGAAATTCTGGTCCCTATCTCATACCACATAAAAAGTTAAATCAAATTCAATTAAATACATCAATATTAGGACCAAATCCATAAATTAAAATGGAAAAGCATAGGTAAAACTTACATGGTATTGACTCTAGAGGCATTTTTCAATAGCTTAATGACATTGTACAAACAAATAGAAACCTTTTTTTTAATTGGAACTACATCATATTAAGAAGACTCTACACTGCAAAATAAATAGGATTAGGATAATCCTAATTTTTTATTAGGATAAAAATGATTAGGATAAAAGACAACACACATACTTGGAGAAAATATTTACTGACTACTTTTCTAGCCAAGAGTAAATATCAGGATACATAAAACATTTACAAAACTTAAGTACAAAAGACCAAACAACTCTATAAAAGTTTGGACAAGTGCAGAACAGACATTTCATCAAACAGGCATACAAATGGTTATTCATTAGGTACATGAGAAAGCCTTTCTTTATCACTATTCATCAGAAAATGCACATCAAAACAGTAGTGTGACATTGTGTCAAACCAGTGACATTGTCATTCTTCAAAATGTAAGAATCCCAGAACTGCTGTGGTATGAGGAAAGGAACCATTTTCCATGGTTTGTGGAAATGTTCTCTGGTTCAGATTCTGTGGAAAACAGTATGGAAATGTTTAAAAGACAGACAGAGAGAGAGAGAGAGAGAGAGAGAGAGAGAGAGAGAGAGAGAGAATTGAGTTTACATTTAGCCAGCAATTTACTGTTTTTGTTTATTTGTTTTTTTGTTTGGGGGTCACATCCAGCGATGTTCAGGAGTTACTCCTGGCTCTATACTCTACTCAGGGATCATCCCCCATATTACTTGGGGGACCATGTAGGATGCCAGGGAGTAAAACTGGATAAGCTTTCTGCATGACCAGTGTCTTACCCTCTGCATTTTCTCTCTGACCCAGCAATTTCAATTGTTAAACATCTACTGAAAAAGTCCCACTTGAAAAAATATTTTAAACGTGGGTGTTTTTAACTTCAATGTTTGTTGTAGTACACATCACATTGGCCAAGATTTGGATAGAACTCAAGTGCCAAGAATAAATACATTGGTAAAGACACTGGATGTATGTATAATATATATGTGTATTTCTATATATATATATATATTAAACTGATAAGAACGGATACTACACTTGATCTTATCCAAAAGCCAGAGAACTGAACCGGGTTCGATTTCTCTGCCCCTCTCGGAGAGCCCAGCAAGCTACCGAGAGTATCCCGCCCACTTGGCAAAGCCTGGCAAGCTACCCGTGATGTATCCAATATGCCAAACACAGTAACAACAAGTCTCACAATGGAGATGTTACTGGGCCTGCTCAAGCAAATCAATGAACAATGGAGAACAGTACAGACAGTATATATATATGGGCTGGAGCGATAGCACAGCGGTAGGGCGTTCGCCTTACAAGCGGCCAACATGGCCAACCTGAGTTCGATTCCTCTGCCCCTCTCGGAGAGCCCAGCAAGCTACCGAGAGTATTCGATATGCCAAACACAGTAACAACAAAGTCTCCAATGGAGATGTTACTGGGCCCGCTCGAGCAAATCGACGATCAACAGGAGGGCCTTTACCTTTACCTTATGTATATATATATTATTTATTATGTATTTATTAATGCCATGTCGGTGAAGCCTTCAGGGTCAGTTGAAGGAGACCAGTTGTAATTACTGGTTTTGACATATCGAATACACAACAGATAGCTTTTCAGGCTCTTCTGTGCGGGCGGAATACTCTTGACAGTTTGCCAGTCTTTCCGAGAGGGATAGAGGCTTTTGGGGCGACCTCTAATCGCCCTCGTAGGTGTTACCATATTTGAACCCTATCAAATATGGTACGCCAATTCCGAAAGATGGGTACCAACATGGCAGCACCGACATGGCAGCACTGAGAAGGATGAGAAAGGAGAGGCTGATAAAATCTCAAGGTCGAACTAGGCTGCCACAACGAAGGAAGACAAAAATGATCGTCTGTAGTTTCAATGCACGTACGCTAGCATCAGATGCATCCATCGAGGACCTGATGGTACAAGCGCAAATGATCAAGTACGACATCATTGGTCTGACCGAGACAAGAAGGCACGAATCTCACCATGCCGTTTTCAACACTGGAGAAGAATTATTCCTCGGAACATGCGATAAAGAGGTGTCGGAGGCGTCAGTGTCCTTGTCAACACAAACTTGGCCATGAGCATTGATTCATTCCAATGCCTAACAACCAGAATCGGATGTTAACATTTGAATAGATGTGGCTTAGTGCCAGCAGTTTCTATCTTCGTTGTCTACGCACCAACATCTCATTATGATGAAAGAGAAATCGAGAGGTTCAAAATGGAGCTAGAGAAGTTCTATAAAGAAGACCACATCTTCTATAAGACCATTGTGGGTAATTTTAATGCCAAGATAGGACCAAGACGATCAGCTGAAGAACTTCACATAGGGACCCATGGCCTAGAATGGAAACAGGGTGAGAGACAATCTGACTTCATCATGTCGACCAAGACCATTCATGGTAACTCACAGTTCCAGAAGGCAGAATCTAAACGTTGGACATGGGAGTCTCCCGGTGGACAATTCCACAACAAAATAGACCACATCATATTCAATCGACTGTTTTGCCTAACCGATGTTACTGTTGTCCGAAAATTTTGAACGGGATCGGACCACCATCTCCTTCGTGCAAAATTCTACTTCACAGAGAGGGGAGAAAGGGCTGCAAAGTTTAAAAAGAGAACTCCCAGAACAACCACCAACTGTAAGCTCTTTGGCACTATTGCAGCAACATGGGAAGATGCCATTGTTGACAACATTGATGAGGAATACGATCAACTGGTTCAGCACCTCCATGATCGAGCGAGGAACGCCGAGAGAGATAGCCACAAAAAAAAGCCTGTCTTCGAAAACTCTTGAGCTTATTCGCCAACGTGGTTTGGCGCCTGCCTCAGGAAACTGCAAGCTAATGTTCCAGCTCACAAAGCAGTGCAGAGATGCGATCAAGGAAGACCTCAAAGAGAGAAGAGCAGAAGTGCTTGTAGACGCGGCAGAAGCCGGGAAAAGTATTCGTAACTCCCGCTTGTCCTTCACTAACTACAAGACCAAGATGACTGCCCTCCGACGTCCTGATGGATCCATCACATCCTCCAGAACGGCAATGGAGAAGATTATGCATGACTTCTACTCAAATCTCTTCGATAGCCATGTCCACTTGCCAACATACCAAATCCCACAGGATGGATATGTCGTTCCCAATATTCTCCCTTCCAAAATCCGACACGCTATTTCTCAGTAAAGAAATGAACAGCACCCGGTCCAGACAAGGTCAGACCTGAACACCTGAAGAACCTGCCGTCAGTACTCATCAATACACTGGCTTGGCTCTTCACACGCTACCTGTCTGAATGCAAGGTTCCGTTCCAATGGAAAACCAGCAGGACCGTACTACTGTTCAAGAAGGGAGACATCCATGACATTGGCAACTATCGCCCGATCTGCCTATTGTCTGTCATCTACAAGTTGTTCACTCGAGTCATCCTAAATAGGATTGGCAGATCACTAGATGAAGGACAACCATGCGAGCAAGCCGGGTTCCGCAAAGGATTCAGCACCATTGACCATATCCACACAATAACCAAGCTCAGTGAGGTTTCTCGTGAGTTCAAGATGCTGCTCTGTTTAAATTTCATTGATTTAAAGAAGTTTAAAGAAGGCCTTTGATTCTGTTGAGACGGAAGCTGTCATTGAAGCCCTAGCCAATCAGGGCATTCAAGCCCAATACATCAGGATCCTCCGTGAGCTGTATTGCGGATTCACTACCAGGATCTCACCATTCTACAAAGAGGTGATCGTTGATGTCAAGAGAGGGGTGCGGCAGGGTGATACCATTTCACCAAAACTCTTCAGTGACACCCTCGAGAACATCATGCGACGACTGGAATGGAAAGGAATGGGAGTGAAGATAGATGGTCGGCAACTACACCACCTCCGCTTTGCTGATGACATTGTTTTAATAACACCAAACATCAGCCAAGCGGCACAAATGCTGGCCGACTTTGACCGTGAGTGTGGAAATGTAGAACTACAGCTGAATCTTACGAAGACAATGTTTATGAGAAACAGCCTCATTCCTGATGCCCCATTTGCTCTGAATGGAATGACCATCTCCGAATGCAACAGCTATGTGTACCTAGGTCGAGAATTCAACATGACAAATGACCTGGCACCCAAGCTTCGCAGGAGGAAGAGAGCGGCTTGGAACACCTTCAAGCACGTTGAAGGAATAGCTAAGAGGACAAAGAACCTCCGGCTCTGGGCACATCTCTTTGATTCCACTGTTCTTCCTGCATTAACATATGCCTCAGAGACCTGGCCCCTATGTAAACAGGATGAGAATGTTATTCGGGTCTCCCAAAGAGGAATTGAAAGAGCTATGCTTGGAATATCATGTTTCACTCAAGTGAGAGAAAGAATCCAGAGATCTGACATCCGTCGAAGATCAAGAATCAGGGACACTGTCTCATTTGCCAAGGTGTCAAAAATCAGATGGGCTGGTCACGTAATGAGATTTAAAGACGACCGCTGAACTAGAGCTGTTACTGACCGAATCCCACGGGATGTCAAAAGACCGCGTGGCCGCCCACCTAGCAGATGGTCAGACTTCTTCGTAAAGATCATGAACGATCGGTTTGAGGCTCTTCATGTTCCCAGAGCGAACAGATGCCATTGGGCTACACTGGCACGCGACAGGGACGAATGGAGATGTTACTTGTGCCCGCTCGAGCAAATCGATGACTAACGGGAAGCTAAGTGATTAAGTGATTTATTAATATTTATTATTTATTTATTTATTAATATTTACCAAATATATATATATTTGTGTATATATACACATTTTGTGTATATATCACACATTTTGTGTATGTGTATACACATTTTGTGTGTGTATATATACACAATGCAGTAGAACTAAAGAAAGATCTTAGATGAGATCTTAGATCTCATCTAAGAAAGATGAGATCATTTAATTTTGTGGTATGTGAATCGGTGGAACTGGGGAGTACTGTCGGAGTAAAGTTGGTCAGAGTGAGGCATCAAGTGCCAATTATCTGTTTCATGTATAGAATATAAAGCGACATGGTAAGAGAATAAAACTGGACAATTTCTGGAGCGAGAGAGACAGTGCAGCAGGTCAGGCCAAGTCTGGTTTAATTTCTGGCATTGTATATAGTCCCCTGAGCACTGCCAGGAGTAATCCCTGAGCACAGAGTCACAAGAAAGCTGTTAGAAAACTGGGTGTAGCCCAACAACCCCACTTTCCCCAAAATACAAATTAATTGATTGCCAACATGAACAATATCTCAGGGTGCGAATACTGAACTGAGTTTGCTAAGGTGATAAGGTAGTGCTATGGGAAGGTATCTTGAGACACTGATTGAAAGTTACTCTCTGATGGTTGGTGTGGCCTTGAAATATTAAATGCTGCAGTGTTATTATTAATAGTATTACAAACCATGGTGCCTAAATTTAAATAAATTAATTAAAATAATTTAAAAATAAACCATATTATAGTATTGAATTATTTATCTCCCTATATAACCATACTATAGGCACAGATATCTATGTGTGTGTGTGTTTGTGTGTATTTGTGTGTTTGTGGGGGGGGGGTGGAGTGATAGCACAGCTGTAAGACATTTGCCTTGTGTGCAGCCAGCCTGGTTGAGCCGGGTTCGATTCCTCCACCCTTCTCAGAGAGCCTGGCAAGCTATCGAGAGTATCCCATCCACACAGCAAAGCCTGGCAAGCTACCCATAATGTATTCAATATGCCAAATACAGTAACATGTTTCAAAAAAATGGAGATGTTACTGGGCCCGCTCGAGCAAATCGAACAACGGGAGGATAGTGGATAGCGGATGTGAGTGAATGTGTGTATGTGTTTGTGTGTGTGTATAGTGACATCATGTTATATAATTTATCTGTCCAGAAGATTTCTAAACAATACAGTAACATGATCCAGGAGAGTTATTACATTGATTAAAGTGCATATTAGGTAATCGTCTCACCTTGTTCAATTCCTGGCATCACATTATAACCCTGAACATTGCTGAGTCAGGCTCTGGATTACCCTAGAACCACTTAGTGTGATCTTAAAGGCACACAGCACAAACAGG